CGAGTAATGCTTAACCTGATCATCTCAACCAACTGAGGAAATTCATCTCTATACAGCATATGTGCTGAAGGCAGCATCCTGTTGTACAGTGCAACATACTCACAAGAAGCACCCACCGAAAACTGGGTCAAGAGATAAAACTCAATAGAAGCTGTGTCAAACGGAACATCGACACCCCGCACATGTGACATCTTAGTCATGTGCAAATCTTCTAACTCAGCATTGGCACAAAACTCCTTGACAATTTCCCCAGATGCCGGCTCAGCATGATTTACCAGAATTCCTCATTGCCTTCTATTAATGGTCTGCATGATTGGATGATCTTCAGGTATATCCAAACCAGCATTCCTCTCTGGAATAAACCCCTTGTTCTCATAGAGGTCATAATACCTCTCATGTGCATCCATGCTCACAAATCTATTCTCATCAAGAGTGTTAGAACACTTTCTTTTCTTTCCACCTCCAGCCTTTGTCTTTCCCTTAGTATCCTGTAAATCAGAAAAGTGGTCCAAAATATAGAATATAGACAGTGTAACTAGTCAGCATGTGGGCATCCAAATGTAACACCATACACAAAAACCATTCCCAGATTTATTCAATGTTATGGCATGACACATAGTAACATTTACTTTCAATTAATCCCCACAATTCCACATAGAACTTGGTATCATCAGTGCATAATTTATTTTTATTTTTTCAAAATAGTACCACAACACAGGCATCAATCAAGCATTTTGCTTATGGAAAAATTCATCCTCACATCAACTCACCTAGGCATATGCATACATGTAATCCCAATGCATATTTCCCACAACAAAATTCTCCTCATGCAAATTCCTCACATGCCATGGTCAAAATCATCATCATTACCTTACATCATTCCCATATTGATCAGAAATCATATCAAATTAAAGCTTACCCACTCCCGACTCACACACATACAGCATAAGCAACATATATACCCCACTCACACATATATCCATCACTCACAATCATATTGCCCACATCCATGCTAACAATTCACACAGATATAATTACTGGCATTACACATAACAACACCACACATATATTCCTACTCACAGAAAACCCACCTTCAGTATCACACATAATCATATAATCAATTAAGCCCAATAAAATGAAAATAATTAAAAACTGAAAACTTACCTTGGGTGCCATGGATGAAGGAAGAAGAAGATTGAAGTATGAAATGTGGAGATGAAACCTTGAGAAATAGGAGGAATGGGGGTTTATGAAAGAAATAGGAGTTGTGTGAGATATGAGGGGAAGATGGGAGGTTTAAAAGAGAATAAATAGGAATTGTGTGAGAGATGAGGCGTTTCTGGGAAAATAAATGGGGGAAGTCGCGCGATGAATTGGAAAGGTGAGGGGAGATGAAGAAGTTTAGGGCAACCGCTGCCAAAACGCAGTGTTGCACTAAAATTCATTCGGCTCGAGTCCGCGCGGATTTGACGCGAGTCCGCGCCGAATCTCTGGTTTTTAGCCCAGGACATTCCTTTAACCTTATTCTTTCACACCATGTATTTTTCCCACTTTTGACTCACAATAATTCAGAATATTCACAGAAAATTAAAAATAACAAAACAAAAATCAAAAACTTCATTAGGTTGCCTCCCAATAAGCGCGTGTTTAACGTCCCGAGCCTGACGATTACCTCTTTAAGCTTCAACAGGATTGAGATACTGAGCTACAGTGTCTTTCAACACCGGTTCTCCATGATAAAATTTTAGCCTTGAACCATTGACCTTGAAAGGTCGATCTTCATTTAATGGTGATATCTCAATGGTGCCATAAGGAAACACCTCTTTAACCATAAAAGGACCAGACCATCTTGATTTCAACTTACCTGGGAACAACCTCAGGCGAGAATTATACAGCAAAACTTGTTGACCAGGCTCAAATTCCTTGTGTCGGATCTTGCTACCATGCCATTGCTTGGTCTTTTCTTTATAAATCCTTGCACTTTCATCGGCAGACCATCTGAACTCATCAAGCTCGTTCAATTGAAGCAACCTTTTTTCTAGAGCTCTTGATGGTTCAAAATTCAGAAACTTTGTAGCCCATAAAGCCCTATGCTCTAATTTCACAAGCAAATGGCAAGACTTCCCATACACCAGTTGATACGAGGACATACCTATGGGTGTTTTGAATGCAGTCCTGTATGCCCAAAGCGCATCATCCAGCTTCTTCGTCCAGTCCTTCAAGGAATTCCCAACAGTCTTTTCAAGGATCCTTTTAATCTCTCTGTTAGAGACTTCAACCTGCCCACTAGTCTGCGGATGGTATGGGGTAGCCACTCTATGCTTCACTCCATATTTAGAAAGCAAGCTCTCAAAGTGCTTATTACAGAAGTGACTACCTCCGTCACTGATGATAGGCCGAGGAACTCCAAACCTTGTGAAAATATTCTTTCTCAAGAAATTCACAACCACTTTAGCATCATTAGTAGGAAGAGCAACAGCTTCAACCCACTTAGAACATAGTCAACAGCAACAAGAATGTATTGGTTGGAATAAGAAGAAGGAAATGGTCCCATGAAATCAATTCTCCAAACATCAAAAAGCTCCACCTCCAGTATGCTATTGAGAGGCATTTCATCCTTGCGGGATATGTTACCCGCTCTCTGACACTTATCACATTTGTCAATAAAGTTTCTTGCATCTTTGAAGAGTGTAGGTCAATAGAACCCGCTTTGTAACACCTTCTGAGCAGTTCTATTACCTCCAAAATGGCCTCCATAATCTGAGGCATGGCACTGCCACAAAATCTGGTTCATCTCAAACTCTGGTACACATCTTCGGATGATACCGTCAGAACATTGAAAATACAAGTACGGATCATCCCAGTGATATTTCCTTTCATCTCGCAGAAACTTCTTTTGGTATTGCCTAGTAAGATTGGAAGGCAACTCCTTCACCACCTTGTAATTGGCAATGTCAGCAAACCACGAAGGAATAAAGATAGCCATGACCTTCTCATCAGGAAAAGAATCATTAATCTCTTTTTCCGGACTATCCTGCAACTCTTTCTCTTGGATTCTGGACAAGTGATCTGCCACTTTATTCTCCACCCCAATTTTGTCTCGGATTTCCAAGTCAAACTCTTGAAATAAGAGCATCCACCTCAGCAACCGTCGCTTTGCATACTGCTTAGTCATCAAAAACTTAATAGCAGAATGGTCAGTAAAAACAATGACTTTAGAACCCAACAAATAAGGCCTAAATTTGTCTAATACATAAACTACAGCTAGCATTTCCTTATCAGTTGTTGCATAATTAACCTGAGCTTCATTCAGAACTTTGCTAGCATAGTAAATAACATGTAACAATTTTTCCTTACGCTGACCAAGAACGACGCCAATTGCATAAGCATTGGCATCACACATAAGCTCAAAAGAAAGACTCCAATCAGGAGCTGTAAGCACAGGGGCTGTAGTGAGCTTTTCCTTCAACAAGTTGAAGGCCTTGAGGCATGCACCATCAAACACAAAATCAGATTCCTTCACCAAAAGTTGGCTCAACGGTTTTGCTATCTTGGAGAAATCTTTGATGAATCTCCTGTAAAAACCTGCATGTCCTAAAAAACTTCTAATACCACTAACATGAACAGGAGGAGGAAGTTTCTCAATCAACATCAGTTTAGCTTTATCAACCTCTATCCCACTCTTAGAAATTTTATGCCCCAAAACAATCCCCTCATGAACCATAAAATGACATTTCTCCCAATTCAAAACAAGGTTAGTTTCCTGGCATCTTTCCAAAACTTTAGATAAATTATCTAAACATGAATTAAAACAAGAGCCAAAAACTGAGAAGTTATCCATAAATACCTCTAAATATTTCTCTACCATATCAGAAAAGATAGAGAGCATACACCTTTGGAAAGTGGCAGGTGCATTGCAGATACCAAATGGCATCCTCCTATAAGCAAAAACTCCAAACGGGCAGGTGAAAGTTGTCTTCTCTTGGTCTTCAGGGGCTACTGGGATTTGATTATAGCCCGAATAGCCATCCAAGAAACAGTAGTAAGCATGGCCCGCCAATCTCTCCAGGATCTGATCAACAAAGGGAAGTGGAAAATGATCCTTCCTTGTGGTCGTGTTCAACCTTCTGTAGTCCACACACATTCTCTAACCAGTTATGGTTCTAGTTGGAATCAGCTCATTTTTGGCATTTTCAACCACAGTCACGCCTCCCTTCTTCGGAACAGTCTGTACCGGTCTCACCCAAGCAGCATCAGAAATTGGGTAAATCATACCTGCATCAAGAAGCTTCACAACTTCTTTTCTGACAACCTCTTTCATCATTGGATTAAGCCTTCTTTACGGTTGCCTCACAGGTTTGATGTCTTCCTCCATGAGTATTTTGTGAGTACAGAAAGAAGGACTTATACCCTTCAAGTCAGAAATAGACCACCCCAAGGCAGTCTTATGCTCCTTCAAAACTTCTTTCAACCTCCTCTCTTGGTTAGAAGACAACCCTTTATTAATGATTACTGGGTAAGTTTCCTCATCCCCCAAGAAAATATATTTCAAAGTGTTGGGCAAAGTCTTCAATTCAACTTTAGGTGCTCCAACTTCTATATCATCAGCTTTTTCTTTAAGCATTTCTACACCAACTTCCTTCTCTTCAAAGGGAACATGGTCACGGGCTTTCAGTTCATGATCAAGCTCTTGAGGGCGAGATTTCTTTTGTTGTACTATCTCTTGAAAGAAAATTTGGAAACAATCATTATACTCAAAAGGTCTTTTCATAGCATCAGAAACATTAAAAGTGATTGCTTCATCATTCATCCTCAATTTAATTTTCCCTTGCTCGACATCAATCAAAACACGAGCTGTAGCCAAGAAAGGTCTACCCAAGAGAAGTGGTTTTTCACTTCCTTCCTCCATGTCCAGCACCACAAAATCAGCAGGAAAAATGAACTTGTCTACTTTCACCAGAACATCTTCAATAATGCCATTGGGTGTTCTTAAGGACCTATCAGCAAGTTGGAGAGAGACCTCCGTAGACTTCAATTCCTTGATCCCCAAAGATTTGTAAACAGAGAGGCATCAGATTGATACTTTCCCCAAGATCACACAAAGCCCTGCCAATACCAATATTACCAATGGCGATGGGGATATTGAAACTTCCTGGATCACTAAGCTTTGGAGGAATCTTCTGTTGAATAAATGCACTGCACTTCTCAGTAAGTGTCACAGTTTGACATTCCTGCAGCTTATGTTTCCTTGATAAGAGATCCTTCATGAACTTGGCATAATTTGGCATACTCGCCAATGCTTCTGCAAAAGGAATATTTATGTGCAGATCTTTGAAGATATCCAAGAATCTGCCATACTGCTTGTTCTGAGCATCTTTCTTGAATCTCTCAGGATATGGTGCCATAGCCCTGACATACTCAGGACTCAACTCATGCTTTTTCTCAACCACTACATGTTGTTCTTTTGCCTTCACGTTCTCCTTCTCTGCTGGCTTCACAGTCTCCACAGGTATCTCAACTTCTTTTTCAGCTTCAACTGTCGCATCATGTTTCTCTTCATCTCCTTCACACTCTATATTTGGATTTTTAGGAGATGCTACCACCTTGCCACTTCTAGTAATAATGGACATACAATCTCCCCTTGGATTAGTAACTGTATTACTTGGAAAAGTACCTGGAATTCTTTCTGAGACCTTCTTTGCCAGTTGGCCTACTTGATTCTCCAGATTCTTTATGGAAGCATTTGTATTTTTATTCTGAGCTCTAGTTTCTTCCATAAAAGCATTAGTGGTCTGAGCTATCTCATTAAAAGTCTTGGCCATTTGTGCAAAGGCTTTTTCCCACTCAGCAGGCTCTCTTTGTTGACTTTGTGAAGGCTGAGCATAATTGTTGGGCTTGAAATCCATACCAGCTCCTTGACTTCTCCTCTGAAAATTACTACCACCACCACCAGAAAAATTCTGGTTTCTTTGAAAAGTCGGTTGCTGAGGCCTTTGATCATACCATATACCATTCACCTGCATTTGTTGAGGAGAATCAGAAGAAGTAAGAGTAGGACATTCATTAGGTTCATGATTGTCCTGGCAATAATCACAAACAAAGGCCACGGATTTAGCCTGAATGCCAGCAATTTGCATCTTGTCAAGCCTTGAAGACAAACTTGCCACTTGTTGACATAACAATTTGTTTTCAGCCAATAAAGAATCATTGTCTCCCAGCTGAAGGCTACCTTTCTTAGACTTTGATGATAATCCCTGATTTTCATTCCTGGCCATCCTCTTTATCAGCTCAAAAGTCTCATTCGCCCTCATAGTTTTAATAGTACCACCAGCTGCACCATTCAAAACCATTCTATCCTCAGGTGTACTGCCATTGAAGAATATTCTGACTTGATCGCCAGCAATCAAGTTATAATGAGAGAACTTCCTCATCAAATCCTTGAATCTATTCCATGTCATGCACAAGGTTTCACCCTCAATTTGAGTGAAATTGGTGATGTCATTCACTCTTTGATTATATCTCTCCATGGAAAAGAATTCAGAGAAAAATTTCGTAGATAAGTCATCCCATGTAGCAATGCTCCGTGCCAGTTGTCTTTCTAACCAACTGAGAGCTTATCCCTTAACAGCAAAAGGGAATAAATGCAACCTGATTGCATCATCAGATACCCGAGGGTGCTTAGTCGAATCACAGATCATAAGAAATCGATCTATGAATCTATGAGGGTCTTCATGCTCTTCTCCTCCAAACTGAACTCTTTCCACCAATTGAATGACGGAAGATTTCAGCTCCCAATTATTGTTGTCAATCGTAGGCTGGACAATACTTGAATTTGGCATGTTGAACGTTGGAGTGAGAATAGTATCTATAAGTGGATTTTCTGCCTCATTCTTGGCTGCCATGTTGTGTACTTCTTCAAACAGATTTTCTAACTCGTTGAAAGCAAGCTTCTTCCGAGTAAATTTTCTGTTCCTCTTTTCTGTTTTTGTAATCTCCCAATCAAGTGGAAATTCGGGCTCTTTACCTCTCATACAACTCAGAAAAAGGATTAGTAGCACTGTTCAAGAATCACAGAAAAATAAAAATAAAAGAAAAATCCAATCTTAAAAATCAAAATTAATTGATATAAGAAACGCCAATCCCCGGCAACGGCGCCAAAAACTTGATGCTAACCGGCAAGTGTACCGATCGAACAAGTAATAAAGTGATGAATAAGAGTATCGTATCCACAGGGATTGTGATCGACTATCAATTAATTTTTCCTTTTAAGATATAAAAGCTCAAAAGATTGTGGGAAGAGTTTGTGAATTTGTGTAAAATAAAATTTGAATGTAGAAACGTATTTTGATTTTATAAGATCAGAGATTGTATCAAGAATGAATTTGTAAAATATGAGAAGGTATTGTAGATAGAGTGCACTCACCGAATGATCCCCGCCTTTCACTTTGGAATGATTTAAATTACTCAATTATAATAAATATTCAAACAATTTATCACCAACAACATGAATTAACTAAACCCCAATTCCTTGCAGGCTCAGTCGTTTAACCCCAATTGGAACCCCAATTCCTTGCAATGTTCCTTTCGAAATTAAGCATTAACAAGATAAATTAAACGTTTGCGATAACACATGCCTATTTCTAGCACGCATACAAATTGTTACCCTATCCTCTTTCTAGGTTAGAAAACCCCAATATTCCTATATAGGGTTCTAACCCTCAAACTATCCTCCACTATTAAATTGATCAAGTTTAACACAAAGAATAGACAATACGCATAGAATAGGAATAAAATAAATAAAAATAACCGAGAAGGATAAATCAATCCGCCGTCAAAGAGGTTCACATAGGGTTTGGGACCCTGACTACAATAAAAGGGTATTAGCCGACCATAGTCATGATTGCTATACAAAAATCTGTCATAAAACTGTAAAAGAAATGGAAAAGTAGATGAAGATGAAATTTCTCTCTATTGAACTCTCTGAACCCTCGCCTCCTCCGTCTCTCTATGTCTCTTTTCTCTTTAAATAACAAGACCCCTTCTTCCAAATTTGACCTTGACAAAATTCTCAAATCGCAAACTAGCGCGTACCCGCTCCACTCTAGCGCGAGGTCGCGCCAACTTCCTGGAAAATAACTTGGATCATTTGGCGCAAGATCGCGCCACACCCGCGCGGACCCGCACGAATCTCTGGACTTTGGCCTGGGAATATTTTAACAATGCATCATCTGTGACTTTGTCTGATCTTTGTCCTTCTTTCCTATATAAAAACAAAAAATATGTGAGAATATAAACTGAAATAGAAAAACAAAAATATAAAGCAAATACCTACTAAAACTACTCTTTAAGGACTTAAAACTTGTTGTTTTTGTCTTGGAAAATCACATATGCCAGAGGCACATCAGTGGCCGTGACGATCTTAGTGAAGAAGACCTGGTGGCGACACTTCCATCCGGGGATAAATATTGACTTTGTGGTATTGACGGACTAAGGAGGAGAAGCAATAGATACTCCTTTATAGCAGGTCATTATCCGCATGACACATGAAAAACAAAATTCGCTTTTAATGATGACGAGTCTTGTTCTGTGGTATGCCAAAACGTGACATTTTGGTGGTTTTCCTGCAATTGCAAGTCTTGTCATCTATAACCATCATGTGATACAAGTAGTACCTCTCACTTTGAAAGCAGTTTTAAAGTAATAAAAAAGAAAGAAAGGAAAAGGTAAAAAATTATCCAAAAAGAAAATTCACAGATAGAGAAATTTACTTGAAAACAAAAAAAAATTAAAAAAATCCAATGCTATGAGAATATCAAGCTCATTTATCAAATATGACAAAAAGTAATCTATTATTACATCTTTATAATTATTTCTAACTATATTTATGTTTCTTAATAATAAAGGAATCGGTACTTCCATATGAGTAAAAATATCCTCCTCTTGAGGTGCAGCAGCACAATCAATGTATCTGAGAAGGTGAATACAGCAGTCGAGAAGCATCTTCCCTTACCACTGCGAGATCACGCACATTACATAACTTCCTTTCGTGGCTTGGCACAAAACGACAAGTGCAATATCAGCAAGACATCCTTTTGTCCTCCATAAATGGGCACACATAGGTTGCACCACAAATCACAAATGGGTTTCTAAAATCATACTTCAACTCTGTGCCATCTGTCATATTCCTTTATGTAGTTGCTTGCCACCACTTGCCTTGGGGGTTTCAACACTAGGGTCTAGGGTTAGTCTCAAGTAGCCTCATGAAGGTTGTTTGCCTTAGGCATAAAGTCACCCACATCAACCATGTCAAGCTACTTAATTACGAGCTCATCTTTAGTACATCAGTAGTACATACTACTTCCATTCAAAATTTAACACATGTATTTAAGACCATATATTTTTTTATTACATGTCAGCATTGATGTTTGGTGTTTGATTTTGATTGGAGGGATGTATAGAAAAGTGGGTACATCTGTAGCGTATTGTAGAAATTTCCCTTAATTACCCCAATCAGCTTCAGCTGCCTCATATTCTTCATCAGCAACATCATCAAATATGCCTTTCATGACCCTAAGAAGGGGCCAATCACCACCACACATGACTGGAAAAGGTGGCATTAAAAGAGATGGCATTTTTCCCTATGCAAAGATGGAACATTCCCTCCAAGTTCTACTTCAAGCCGGTTAGCAACATCATGCATCTCATGAACTGAGGCAGTGGTGTAAGCAAGAGGCAAATGACCAACATTCTTCAAGATTTTAACACGTTCTCGAACATCACCCATATATAAGGCATTGTGAAACTGACCCATCACATCATTCTTTATTTCAACAATTTTCAACATCTTCGAAAGTTTCTCCATGTTACCAGTGATGAGATAAAGGAAAGACAATCTCTATTACAACTCATCATCTATTTATCTGGTGATGTATCAGTTTATATTCATTAAGTTAGATGAGTTGGTTCATTAAGTTAGTTTCTTACCGTTGTGTTAGTTCCCTAATTTACGGTAAAGTAGTTTCGTTATAGTTGCTACATAGCTGCTGTATAAATAGTGACTTGAACGTGTAGTTAACCAGTTTTTCTGTTTCTAATATTTCTTCAATAAGATGAATACAGTTTTCTCTCTTTCGAGTTCTTTGGATTCTGATATGGTATCAGAGCTCTAGGAGCTCTGGTATCGCGTTCTTGCTGTTTCGTTTTGATCATTAGCGTTCTTATTGCTTCATCTTTGATCTTCAATCAGCAAACTCTTCAATTGCGAACCAAGCTCCTCTTCTGGATCATCTTACGAATCCTTCGAACTCTTTGTATCTCCATGCAAATGAGAATCCAGCACTGGTTCTTGTTACACCACTTCTTAGTAACAAGAACTACCACACGTGGCTTCGTGCTATGAAGATGGCGCTCCGTTCCAAGAATAAACTTACCTTTGTGGATGGCACTTTCACCATTCCAGCAGCAACAGATCCTACGTACTAGGCATGGGATCGTTGCAACATGATGGTCTTATCGTGGATTCATCACTCCATTGAACCCTCCATTGCCAAATCCATTCTTTGGATCGAAAAGGCACAAGATGCTTGGAAAGATCTCCAAGAACGGTTCTCACAAACAGATGTGTTTAGTATTGCGGATTTGCAAGAAGAAATCCAGCGTCTTCATCAAGGAGAATCATCAGTAGGTGATTTCTTTACTCAACTTAAAACTCTCTGGGATGAACTTGACAACTTACAGCCATTGCCAAATTGTTTCTATGGTGCTTCGGACAAGTTGAAGAAATACCGAGAGCGTGATCAAGTGGTCTGTTTCCTGAAAGGTCTTAATGACCAGTACTCACATGTTCGTTCGCAAATAATGCTGATCGAACCTCTCCCTAGCATGAACAAGGCTTTCTCGCTTGTTACACAACAAGAACGATAGATGAACACTGAGTTCTTGACTGAAAATATATCAAGTTCACGAGTCTATGCAGTTGAGCATCAACGTGGAACTTATGTGGCTGAACATCAACGTGGACGTGGTAATTGCTATAACAGAAGAAGGAATGGCAGAGGACGTGGAACCAAATTGTGCACTCATTATGGTCGCACCAACCACACAGTGGAGACATGTTATGCCAAACATGGATATCCACCAGGATTCAAAGTTAGGGGAAGGACTGTATCAGCCAATGTAACCTTTCTTGACCAATTGAAGATGCTGATGGCACCAAGGATACTGATAAAGTTTCTATAACTCAACAAGAATATCAAAATTTTCTTGATCTAATGACTCAAAGCAAAACTGATCATGCAGGTGATGCAAGTTCTCACACTGCAAATTTTGCTCAAGTCCAGCATGCTCAAGTTCAGCATGGATCTGCTTTCAATGTGAATTCTGGTAAGGTCCTCACTCAATGGATTCTTGATACGGGGGTGACGGATCATATATGTTCAATGTCCTCATTATTCTCTCATTTTAACAAGATTATTGATCCTATTGCAATCACACTACCTAACAATCAGAAAGTGATTGCTAAATACTC